GGGCTCTTTAGATAAAAATGCTAATAATTCCTCAGTCTACCTCATGGGACAGTTTCAAGAAATGACTCATGAAACTATAAACAGTGCGAACTACAAATGCTGTTACTTAAAAACCAACTGCTTCTCTTTGACCTTACTGTTGCTCTCAGTTGTTGTCAAGTCGATTCTGACTGACAACAACCTCATGTGTGTTAGAGTAGACCTGCTCCATAAGGTCTTCAAGGCTGTCTTCTGAGGTGCCTCTGGGTGCGTTCAAACTTGCCAATTTTTTGGCCAACAGTCAAGCATGCACTTAACTGTTTGTGCCACCCAGTTAAGCCATCCTTTTGACCTTATAACAGATTTTCTTACATCCCCAAAACACTCAAGATAATTGCTTTGTTGGGTCCACATCTAACAACCCCATCCCAGGCCAAAATGGAATGCCCCTCCCCTAGGCTCCTCTAGCACCCATGGCACCTCTGCCTGGGCACCTCTGCCTAAGCACTTCCTGTGCTGCACTCAAGTTATCTGGAGAGGTATCTTCCTGGTACCCAGTAGACAGGACACATTTTGAGGACAGGGTTCTTGTCTTAGTCGTGCAGAATTGCCAGGGCCTGGTTCCTATGAAGCTTTCATCAAAGTTTGCTTTGTTTCTCCAAAGGGCTGAAGTGAAGAAACTGTAAGTAATTAAATAACTTATCTGTCCCCATGGAATCCCTGGGTGGTGCAAATGGTTAACGCAATTGGCTGCTAACCTAAAGGTTGAAGGTTCAAATCCAACCAGAGCAGCCTTGAAGAAAGGCCTGGCAATCTGCTTCCGAAAATATCAGCCACTCACTGGAGTAGGGGAGGAAATGATTATCCATCATATTCTTGTACCCAGTACTTGCTCTTCATATATGATCAATTTTGAGCTTAAAAAAAAAATTACATTTTTGGAATAACCAAGTTTTAGTTTTTTATTCCTGTTATCAGTGGGCCACATTGAGAACTCACAGAATAAAGGAAAGGCATGATTCTAGGAAGTCAAATTTCTGGATGGGAGAAAGAATACACTTTTTTAGGGAGGGCTAGAGCCCTGGTGGAAACCCTGGTGGCGTAGTGGTTAAGAGCTACAGCTGCTAACCAAAAGGTTGGCAGTTTGAATCTACCAGGTGCTCCTTGGAAATCCCACGAGCCAGTTCTACTCTGTCCTATAGGGTCACTGTAAGTCGGAATTTACTCCACAGCAACGGGTAGAGCCCTGGTGGTGCGGTGGTTGAGAGCTTGGCTGCTGGCCAGGGGGTTGGCGGTTCGAGTCCGCTGGCCACTTCTTGGGGGCCCTGCGGGGAGGTTCTTCTCTCTCCTGTGGGGTTGCTGTGGGTCGGAGTTGACTTGACCACAGCGGGTTTGGTTTTTTTGGTACTGACCACAGCAAAATTCAACTGAGAGGCCCATGAAAGTAAAAATCAAATTTATTTTGTTTATTCTTTGGAAAGAGCAATATAAAGCTTAGAGAGGCTGCATGCTCTAGTTAATAGAGTTTTGGATTTTGGGTGTGAATCCTGATTCTTCAGCATTTTAGTTGTGTGACTGTGGGCTACTCTGTTTCCATTTCAGTTAAATTCTATTTAGCTCATAGGATTGTGTGTTGGTTCGCTATTGCTGTGTAATAAAAGCGACAAAATCTAGGATGCCAGGGTAGCTCAGTCAGCAGGACATCAGATTTTAATGAGGGTCCAGGTTCAAGTCCTTGTTTGGGCATGTTTGGCGGGGAGACAGCTGATGGAAGCTACAGTAAATTTGTTCTCTGAGAGTCTCCTCCTTCTTCTAGAGTTAGAGGGCTAGCCCAAGCATGTTCTTTCTCAGGGCATAGCAGAAGCAAGAGGGCAAGCTCAACTGTGAAAGTGCGTTTCAAGTTTCTGCTTGCATCACATCTAGTAACATCCCATTGGCCAAAGCATGTCATGTGACTGAGACCAAAGTCAAGTGGAGGGGAAGTACAACCTGCCCAACATGAAGCCAAAGCAGCCACCTGGAATGAAAGCTCCATGAAGGCAGGAACTCTGTTTTGCTCACTGCTGTATCTTCTGTGTCCAGAGCGGTGCCTGTGCCCGGCACATAGTAGATATTTTGCCAGACTATATGAAGAAGAATAGAGCATCAGGATTGGAGGAAGACTCAATAACAACCTGAGAGACACAGATGATATAACCTTGCTTGCCAAAAATGAAGACGACTTGAAGCACTTACTGATGAAGGTCAAAAATTACAGCCTTCGGTATGGATTATGTCTGACCACGAAGAAAATAAAAATCCTCGTAACTGGACTGATAAACAACATCATGATGAATGGCAAAGAAACTGAAGTTGTCAATGATTTCATTCTACTTGGATCAACAATCAATGTCTGTGGAAGCATCAGTGAAGAAATCAAATGATGTACTGCATTGGACAAATCTGCTGCAAAAGACCTCTTAAAAAGTTTTAAAAGTAAAGATATCACTTTAATGACTAAGGTGAGCCTGAACCAAGCCATGGTCTTTTCAATTGCCTCATATGCATGTGAAAGCTGGATAATGAAAAAGGAAGACAGAAGAAGAATTGATGCATTTGAACTGTGGTGTTAGTGAAGGATACTGAATATACCGCAGACCCTCAAAAGAACAGTCTTAGAAAAAATACAACCAGAGTGCTCCTCAGAAGCAAGGAAGGTGACTTCAGCTTGCTTACTTTGCATGTGTCATCAGGAAAGACCAACTGCGAGAAAAGGACATCACATTTGTTTAGTCAGCGAAAACATGGGAAACCCTTAATGAGATGGATAGTCATAATAGCCACACAATGGACTCAAATATACTGCTATGGATTGAATTGTGTCCCCCCCTCCTCCCAAAATATGTGTTGTAAATCCTAAACCCCTATGTGGATATAATCTCATTTAGGAATAAGACTTTCTTTGATATGTTAGTGAGACCATATCAATGTACCCACTAACCCGCTACCCTCAAGTCAATTCTGACTCATGACGGCCCTGTGGGACAGAGTGGAGCTGCCTTGTAGGGTTTCTGGGAGGCGCCTGGTGGATATGAGCTGCTGACCTTTTGGCTGGCAGCCGTAGCTCTTGACCACTGCGCCAGTGGGGTTTCCATATCAATGTAGGGTGTGTCTTAAACCAGTCACCCTTGATATATAAAAAGAGCAGATGAGACACAGAGAAGGACGCACAGAGGGGAAGATACACGCCACATGAAGATCGCCAAGGAACTGAGGAATAGAAGCTAAAAAGAGACAAGGACCTTCCCTCAGAGCCAACAGAAAGAAAGCCTTCCCCTAGAGCCAGTGCCCTGAATTTGGACTTCTAGCCTCCTAAGACGTGAGAAAATAAATTTGTTTGTTAAAGTAAAAAATAAAATAAAATAAAATCAGCCACCAAAAACCCCATAGAACAGTTTTACTCTGACACACTTGGGGTCACCATGAGTTGGGGTCGACTTGATGGCTCTACTCTGGGAATCAAGATATTAGAGCCTGGATAAGCCTTAGGTATAGGTGGTCCAACTCCCTTACATTACAGGTAAGAAAAAAAGGAACCCAGAGGGAGATGTGTTTTTTTCACTCACACAGCTGGTTAGTGGTAAAGCCAGAATGTTGTTGCTCTGTGCCCTTGAGTCGGTTCCGACTCAAAGTGACCCCATGGGACAAAGTAGAACTGCCCCATAGGGTTTCCAAGGAGCAGTTGGTAGATTTGAACTGCTAACCTTTTGGTTAGCAGGCAAGCTCTTAACCACTACACCACCAGGGCTCCAAAGCCAGAATGGAAACCCATAATTCCTGACTCAGTCTCAGCATTCTTTCCACTCCATACATCATTCATATTCCTGCACTTTCTGACTTTATATCTCTACTACATTTGGTAATTCCTTCTCAACACACACAGGGCCATGGAACCAGCAGGACTCAGGATCTCTATAGGATCCCAGCAGTATACCCCAGGACTGGGCCTTCCATGCTTTGGGACTCTCCGTTCCCAGGATTCCCGCTGTAGTCGGAGAAGGAAATCGCCAGCATGCTATGTCATGGGCTAACATAGGCAGGCCACGGGCTGCAACTACCTCACTGAGTTTGGAACGACTTACCAGCAATTCCCCCTCAGCCCACTAGTGGGGAGGCAGGGCCTTCAGATTAGGCATTTCCACCCAAATCAGGGCCTCAGTGGGACTGGGGCTTTGTTTCAAGGAGGATAAAGGCATGGGCTCTGAAGCAGAACTGCTTAGTATGACATGAGTCTACTACTTAATGGCTGTGCTGCCTTGAAGAAGTTACTTAGACATTCCATGCCTCAGTTTCCTCCCCTCCATAAAACGGAGATCAGAGATAATCTACTGTATGGAATGACAAGAGGTTTAACTCAACCTGGTGCCTAACACACAGTAGGTATTCAGGAGGTGGCGGTGCCATTAATATTATTATATCTACTTATCTGAAATAAAACCATGTTTAAGCATAAATGGGACTTCTATGCCAACCATTATATATTTTGGCACCCAATAAGCAAAAGTTTTCATTTTTTCTTTCAATTTTTAGAATATTTCCATGACGTCCTGAACACCTAATCTAGGGAAATGGCTTATTTATATGAATAGTCTCTCTTAATTAGCTATTAGCTGAAGAATATATCCCAAATGGCACCGTAAATTACCGTGTTTGAAAACAGGGTAAGCATTTCCCTGGTAACACTTGTAAATTGGAAACAGTAAATTAATGTTAAAAGTACAGTGGATGAGTGTTTGACAGTGCCACGAACTTCATTCATCCTAATGAAACTTTTTTACAGGTAATATCAAATCAAATAATATGGATTAGCAACCTTGCTTTAAAAGATTATCTCTGCACTGAAAAAGCGAGGTCTTGTTACAGGGGCCCAGTCTCTGCCTCTGACAACCAGAGAGCACTTCTTTAAAGAGGGGTGAACACACATATCCACGCTCCCGTTCCCGGAACATGCAAACGTGCCCTGGCTGGCGCTTGCCTCTTACCACGAACTCCTCCAGAGTCTGGTAGGTCTTGCCCCGGAACTCACAATAGTTCTTCCTCTCCTTGCACTGCGGGCAGCACTGGCTCGTGTCGACGTGGATGCAGCGCGGGTGCAGCCGCGGGCACTCAGGCTGCGCGCACAGAGGCCCCTCCTCGGTGCACAGACACGGGCAGGCCGAGGGGCCCGGCGCGAACTTCTCCCCGATGGCGTACACGAAGCCGCTCTCGTCCACGCAGCCTTTGCCGCGGTAGTCCGGGTATGCGTACTCCTCTGGAGGCTCTGGAGTGGGTGAGAGTTCCGGGCTCGCCGCGTCCTGGGCCAAGGCAGCGGCGGCGGCCGGGGGCTCCACCTGCGGGGTGTCCCCGCGGGGCCGGAACTGTAGGTCCCCGGCCTTGGCACCCCCGCCCTGGGAGGCCCAGGCCTGCTTCTGCTTGCTCCACGCTTCCCTACCGGCGAGCCCGCGGCCGCCCTTGTTCTTCCAGTCCCGACCGCTGCCTCCCTCGTCCCTCGCGGGGCGCCCGAGCTCGCTCACCCGCCCCGGGCTGTCCCGAGACGCGTGCTCGCGCTTCTCCTGGCCCTGCTGCTCAGGTGCCTGGGCCAGCTTCTCCAGAGGAATGCTTGGACTGCACAGAGCCACCATCAGGCAGCAGGTGACCAGAAGGGAACTGGAGAGCGCGCCAACTGCCATCGCCGTGGAACTGGGCATCCCCTACCACGTCCTGGCGGGCGGGCGGGCGGGGAGCGCTGCGGAGAGGCGAGTCGCATTCACAGCCTGGGGATGCGCCGCCGCCAGCCGGGAGCCGCTGTCCCTGCTGAAAGAACAACACCAAAACTGAGCCCCAGGGTCCACGCGCTCCGCGGCCCGCCACGGCCCGGCACCCTGGCCCAGCGCTGCTAGGCTCTGGCCTCGCTCTAGATTAAAGATCTGGACCCCTGGGAGTGGGGACATGCCCATCATGGAGCACACAGTTTTCTTAGAGGATCAAAAACTGTGCATGGGTTTACAGAAGTCAAGTCTAAGGAAAACACCTAACAACAGTATTTCCTTCTGTCATTAGTACTATTTTAGACGGTCCAGGGTGGCTGCATGGCCATGGGGGATGCAGACCAGCAGTGGCTCCCGAACGATAGCTGGGCCCGCGCTCCTTATAGAGCTCAGATAAGAGCCACATAATTCAGGCACATGGGTGCCCCTCCCTAGCTTCTGGCCTCACTGGGTTCTCAAAGGTTATTAAACTGTGAATTCCGCAGTGGAGTTAGAGAAAGACGAATGTGTGGGGGAGATACAAGGGAACCCTACCTCTCTTGCTTTAGAGGATTATTTGGGGAAAAAAGGGGGAGGGGGATGAGAGGAAAAATACAAAGCTTCTCCTAGGATCCCGTGATTCATTTTCAACAACTTTTTTAATGCCTTTCGCCAAGGCAGCAGATGCCTCCCTCCTCACCTCTTCCCCAACCTTTGCTGCCCAGGAGGATGCCTGGGCCCTTCCCCAGGCGGCCTGGTGGGGGCCCCTGGAGGATTTGGCTGTGCCATCGGCCACCGGCACCCGGTCCGCCGCTCAGCGATTCGGGGCGATGCAGCGAACCACAGCGCTCAGTACTGGAGTTGATTTTACCCCGGAGGGGGTCGTGGCATTGGAGGAAACATGCCCAGGGCAGCACCGAGAGGTGTGTGTGTGGGGAGGAGTGGTTGGGGATCAAGGGTGCGGGATACCGGCGAGCTCCACTCACTCTCCTGGCCTCCCACGGCCCTCTGGATCCCAAAGTTTCTGACCCCAAAGGGGCAGTAAGAGCCCAAGACACAGCAGGGTGTGCGGGCAATCTAGCCTCTTTTCCCTTCATCTTGGGTAAAATGTGTTCAACACTCTGGCGCCTGCCAGGGCTTCTCTGTTCCCCCCCTTCCGATTCCCCATTAGAGCTCGGGTCTTCCCCGCCTTCTGCTGACCCCCAGCCCAGGGCCAGCAAACCTCAGCTCCTGGAGAATCCACCCGTATTTACAAACTTGGTGCGGGGGGGTGGGGGAGCTTCCTCACTCCCGAGCAGATGGGCGGCGAAACGGTGCCGGGGAGCGTCCCAGCGCGCACTACGCGGACACCCAACATCCACCCTCACTCCTGCGGGCGTCACCCAGCGCAGCCTACATACGTGAGCTCAGAGCGCAGACGAGACGCCGGAATCCTGGCGGGCGCGGGGGCAGAAGCGGCGGGCGCGGCCCCGGGGCGCCCGCGCCCATCCTCTGGCCGGGGCGGGGACTGCGCGGTACGGGCCGCGGAGAGCGCAGCCCCACCTGCGCGCTCCGTAAGGCGCGTGCACCCAGTTAGGGCGTCTCCGGCGGCTTTTTCATACCGCTTGTGGCGGTCGGTTGTCGCGGCCCAAACTCTCTTCAGTGCCCGCGCATCCCAGGATCTCCGGGATGAAGCGACCCAGGGGGGCGCCCAGGCCCTCGCCACGCTCCTCTCCGCAGGCAGGGAGTTGTAAGTGTCCAGCAGGCTCCAGACCTCTCCAGACCAGGCGGACGAAATACCCCGGGCAGTCGCTGCGCTTCGTAGGGAGCGGAGCAGCCCGGAGCGCGGCAGGCGGGAGAAAAGGTCTGGGGGCCGGCGTGGGAGCTAGCGCGCCTGTCTCCCCGCCTCCTGCTGCAGCCGCCTACTGTCCCGGCTCCCACCCGGCGCCCGCCTCTACCGCCCCCGCCCAGGAAGCGTCGCCGCGGAGGCTAGGCGCTCCCCCCTCCCCCAGGCCTGAGGACCTCCTGCTGCACTTGCTTCTCTTCCTGGCCACGTGAAAAACCCACCTGTCAGTCTCCCGCGCGGCCGCTTCCCCAGCTCCGGGGCCGGCCTGAGCCCTAGCCCAGCTGGCATTCCCCTTACTTGTCACTCGCCGCCGGACCTTTCATCTCGGTTTTTTTTTCTTTCCTTTTTTCTTTTCTTTAATTTCATCCTTTTTAATTGGCCCCCTCTGGCTTTCCTCTCTGTGGCAGGCTTGGTTTGCCACTGTTGAAAAACCTAAACCAACTGTTCGATTTGGAATTCGAAGATCGTGTTAGCTTAGCAAACTGTTGGGAGCTTTTCTCCTCTTTACATTCAGAAACCCAGAGGTATGGACGCGGAAGAGTAAGAAACTTTTTAAAAAACCCAAATAGTGTACTTTTGGAACCTCTGCCAATCTCTCTCTCTCTCCTTCCCTCTGTCTCTCCCTCTTCCTTTCTCTTCTCTCTTCGGCCACAAATGGCAACATTTTTGGCTACTTTTGCTGGAATATTAAACTGGTAAGCTGTGTGGTTCAGCTTTTTTGTTTTCACTCTTTGATCTCGGGTCAATCAGTTTGTTGCTTTTCTTGGGTAAAGGAAAAAAGGCCAACTATATGCACTCAGTGTAGTCCCTAAAATGGCATTTTTTATAGAAATGTCCATTCCTAGGGCAGTGGTTCATATTCATGTCATCTTAAACAAGCAAAGCAGTTGTGGAGTGGACTCTGATTCATGGCCACTCCACGTGTGTCAGAGTAGAACTTTGCTCCACAGGGTTTTCAATGGTTGCTTTTTTGGAAGTAGATTACCAGTCCTTTCTTCTGAGGTGCCTCTGGATGGACTGGAACCTCCAACCTTCTGGTTAGCTAACAGCTGAGCACATTAACTGTTTGCACCACCTAGGGACTCCATGTCATCTTAAAATCCCTAAAATATGCTCAGGTGCATAAACACACATCCTTTTCCTTAAAAGCTCAGGCCCCCTACCATGGCTGGTTGGGGGAGAGAATGCATTGAGACAAATTTTCGTTCTCCTCAAAATCTTTAAAGTAGAGAAAACAGGTCTAAATGAGGTGTCAAGAAAGAATAGAGAGGCACAGAAAGCCTGGGGAAGAGCTGCCCCCACCCCCTTTCTGCAAAACAGAACAAACAACAGAGTGGGGTGGAGGGTTTCTATGTCCAGAATATTTTCTTCCCCCGTCCTTTCCTGAAAGGATTTAAGCTCTTCTGCCTTTGTAGACCCCACTTTCCTCTCTTCCTGTCATCTCAAGCCAGGAGATAGATCACATTTACCCATGGGATGTGGCAACCTAGGATTCTCCTTGTCCATTACCTTCCAACTTTTCACCATACACTCAACTCAATTATGGCTTTCTTGTCTAAATGATGCCTGTGTTATAAATCCTTGCAGATTCCACAGTGCCGCCACAACAGAAATGGGACTTTCGAGTGTGATCATCTATAATGTGGAAAATTAGTACTCACTGGACAATGTTATGAGGCTCTCAAGGCATCTTGGGTTAGGCTACAATTTTTGACATGTGCCATATTTATCAGCTAGTTCTTTTCCAGTCACTACAAATTTTGTTTGTTTTGCTTTTGTTAAGAAACACTCTCATATTGTTATAATGGAACCAAAACCAAATGTGTTGCTGTCGAGTTGATTCTGACTTATAGCGACCCTATAGAACAGAGTAGAACTGCCCCATAGGGTTTCCAAGGAGCAGCTGGTAGATTCGAACTGCCAACATTTTGGTTAGCAGCCGAGATCTTAACCCCTGTGCCACCAGGGGGTAGCCCCAACAGAAGTAACTAATAAGAATACAACTATTATAGTATGTGTGAAAGGTCCTATTTCCAACTAAAAATTGATGGGGGTCTGATAGAGGGCATAGTGATGTCTCTTTATGGATCCCACTCAATCACAAGTCCAGTTGAATCAAAAACCCTGTGTCCTAGCCTCCTGGTCACAGTGGAGAACCATGCACGTGAGATAGTCAGACTTGCCAGAAGATGACTGACACACCTAGGAGCTAATTATGCCTCCAAGTGTTCACACCACTTTATTCTGCCAGATACTCTCAGAGGTGGTGTGATAGGACAGGCAAGACGAAGGAGGGAAGCAATTTCGCAAGGATTTCTGTCTGTGAAGAACAAAATCCATGCAGCCTTGATTAGCTGCGTAATTCAAGGAAGTATAGGGGACTTGGCAGGCATCTCAAGAATTTACAATTTATTGCCAAAGCAGTAAATTGTTATGCCTCACTTTTCTTTCTTTTTCTTTTTTCTCTTTTGCACATTGTCTTCTCAAGGCACAGACCGAAAGTGACAGCAGAAAGATCTCTGATCAGGGAGTGAGGTGACCTGGGTCTCATGGTGACTCTACCAGGGACTGATTTTGTGACCTTGGACAAGTCAGCTAGGGTCTCAGAAAATCTTTAAAATCTTTAAATCTTTAAGATAAAGAAGGTGGGAAGATGACGTATTTCTACCATCATGCCCTATTTTATCCCAGCTTATTATTTCCACTTTTCCATCTGTGCAGGAGACAAATCAAATAGCTAAAGTACGAATTCATAGTCTGTAATGAGCCTGAGCGTCTGTGCTTGGCCTCAGAGCATATGTGTAGAGCAGGTGGGTTTCAGGCAGGGTTCAAAGTTGCTTCCACGGTAGCCTTTCCTGTCCCCTTAAGCAGACTTAATCTTACCTTCCTTTCTCTGCATTGCCAGAACATGGTTTATGTCTCTCATACAGCACTTAGCACAATCTGACTTTTTCATAGCTCAGGTGCACCTGCACCCACCTCTGAATTAGCAGCTTATTAAAGGACTGGGGCTAAACTGTGTTCATCTTCATGTGCTTGGAGGGAAGGAAGGAAACGTGGAAGGAAGGTGGAAGGGGGATGGGAAGAGGGCAGAGGGGAGGCAGAAGGGAAAACATGGGGGAAACTTACTTATTACCTTCATAGTGCTGGGCCCTTTCACAGCCATCTCATTTACTTCCTTACCATATATCTAGTCTCAGGGGAATCATTCTTGTTTTCCATTTTGCTAGTGGGAATCC